CGTGGCTGGCGGGCTCTGAGCAGCACTGCACATGCGCGGAAGGGCGCGCGCGCCTGCGCACTTGCGGACCACGGTCCGGAAGGGTCGGGGTGTGGCCTGTTTTCATGGCGACAAGGACGCTCTGAAGGCCCCGTGGTGGGCTGAGCCGAGGGAGTCTGCGTACGCCCGCCCATCGGGCTAGCCGGACAACACTCTTTCCTCTTCCGGTCCCTGCAGCGAGTCTGTGGCCTCAGGACGAGTGAGGTTTTGGTAACTCGGGACCTGCGTCCTTGTGGGGCCCAACGACGGGCGTGGCGCCCGGGGGTGGAGCCTGCGTAACTCGGCAGCCCGAGGACTATTACCAGGAAGGATCTTCCGACGCGGATTTAGGCGGACCTGCCTCAACTGGGACCTCGGAATCTGTGGTAACCAATAAGTATGCTCTGGCTTTTTGGCTCCCATCCTAAAAAGGTGCCCACGACTGACGCAGGGCGGCCCTTGGATTTCCAGTGGTTTGAGGAGTGTGTTTAGGAATCATATGTTTCAGTTCTGGCTTTTACGTTTGGGGTTTCCTTGTTTTGTGGCCGAGTTAATGTGGGCCGATAGAGTGAGCAGTCACACATGTTAATGAGAGCTAGCACTTTGGATCGCCTATTGATGCCACTCTATTAAACACGTGTTTCTTATTTTGGTCTTCACACTGTACCGGTAAGATAGGTCCTGTTAGTAAAATGGTGAGATTAGATAACCAGAGCCAAAAGTTCAGTCTGGGCACGGAATCACGATGCCATAAACTGGTCAAAGCAAGCCACAAATCTTTTTAAGATTTTATTGACTGGATAACAGCATTAAGATTATACTCATGACACATTAAGTTGCAATCTGTAAGGAAACAGTCCCAGGAGCAAACAAAATTTAACCAGTGTCCACAAATAAAAGATCAGTAATTAAAAGAAGGAATTATGTACATTAAGAACAATCTCCGAAGTACTGTGGTCCCTTCAAGGAAAAACTCTTCCAATTCATTTAGCCTCAATTCTGAACATATGATTTCCCCAAACTCGGTTTTCACAAATTCTGAAGTGGGCCTGTGAAAAAGTAATCCCGATTTGGTAACTCTATCATTGTTTTCGAAACTACCCCTTCACAATTCAGAATTAGAGCTGTTTTTCCTCTTTGAAATGGGTTTGCATTTGTACATTTTAACACCTGGTCTTCAGAGCTGCCCTTAGCTGTTTTGTCTGTGTTCCACTATTACTAGGCTACTTCTGTGATTATCTGCAGAATGTCTAAAAGCCAACAGCTGTTCAGATCTGAAGGTCCGTGGGAGCCCGCCTACCAATGAGATTGCTTGTCAGCAACACTAATTGATTTGGAGGACAAGCAGCAGGATTATTGCAGGTTCTGATCCAGAGGACAATGCTCCAAAAGAATTAGGAGTGTCTGGAATGTCAAGTGGTTGGAATTCTCCTTGTAAAGGAGAAAGGGTTCTGATTGTACTTTCTCTGAACCAGCCCTTGAGATTACCTTTAGGAGGTGACACCCAATTTTCATCTTCTGTAGAGGGACTCCATGTAGCACGAAGCCACCATGGTTTCCTGGTGCAGTTAGCTGACAAAGAGAAAGCTGTTTGGAGTGACTGCCCATGTGGTTGTCCAGATCTAGAGCAACACCTGGAATAGAACAGTGACCTGTAGGGTACTGGTTCCTTTTGCTGTTTTTGCCATCAATTTCTCTTTTTTTTTTTCCTTAACTGTTTACCACTAACTTCTTTTCCTGTTTTGTTTTGAATATATTTTATTGATTTTTTACAGAGTGGAAGAGAGAGGGATAGAGAGTTAGAAACATCAATGAGAGAGAAACATCGATCAGCTGCCTCCTGCACACCCCCTACTGGGGATGTGCCCGCAACCAAGGTACATGCCCTTGACTGGAATCGAACCTGGGACCCTTCAGTCCACAGGCCGACGCTCTATCCACTGAGCCAAACCGGTTAGGGCTCCTGTTGTGTTGTGTGTGTTTTTTTTGTTTGTTTTTGTTTTTAGTGTTTTCATTAGTACTTGAGCTGATACTTTGAATATGACTACAGGTAGTACTAAATGTGCACATCTCATTAGAAAATACAGTTTCCTGTTCATCCAAAATGCATTTCTCATCATTTCTATTGTGACTATCAGGACCTGCCTGAAATGCAGGGCAGTTTAAACTAGGATGCACTGTTGCGTGTGCTTGCTTTTCCACTATCAGATTATAACCAGGTGCAGAAGAGAGTCGCTTCAGTGAATTTGCAGCTGTGCTCTGATATTTGGCAAGATTTTGTCTTGACCTGTTTGAATAGAATTCATTATGCTCATCCTTCAATTTGTATTGTCCCCAGAGCCCTCTCTTAATCTTTTTAAAGCCTAGGTGGAAAATTTCTAGAATGTTTAAGGAAAGTGAAACGATGGCTGTGGGTTGCTAAAATAATAGGAATATTACCTTTCCTGTTGATCTTGAGACAAAACAATCAATTATATTTGGACATGGGTAGCCTTGGCATTTAAATAGAGACTCTCAATCAGTGGTTCTCAACCTTGGCTACACATTAGAATCACCTGGGAATCTTTTTAAAATCCTGATTTCTGGGCCTCATCCTCCGGAAATTCTGTTTCTTTGTTATGGGGTGAGGCCACAACATTAGTCAGGATTTTAAAAAGATTCCCAGGTGATTCTAATGTGCAGCCAAGGTTGAGAACCACTGCTCTAAATGAAATTCATATAAAAAGTACTGTCCAATCATAAACCCAACTTCAACAACAGAGCGAGTGAAAATGTGTATCACATCAGTGCAAAGCCAGGTTCCCCTGAGCGGAGCTTTATTACGTTTCCTTTGCTGCAGCTGACAAAGTGCTTGCTCCAATCTCCTCCGATCCCCAGACATATCAAACTCAACCCCTTTCAGTTCTCCTCCCAGTTGAGCTTCCTCCCTCTGCCTCTCTTTCTCCAGAACTCTCAGTCGGCACAAAGCATGGGCCATGTAGACCAAGGATGGTGAAGACACGAAAATCACCTGCAGAACCCAGTATCTAATGAGGGAGATAGGAAAAGCCTGGTCATGGCATACATTTCTGCAGCCAAGTTGTTCTGTATTACAGATGAAGCCAGACTGCTCATCATTCCAGACATTTTCAGCTGCTACACCCAGAACAAGCATACGAAATATGAACAGGGTGGTGAGCCAGATCTTTCCAATCACAGTGGAGTGGATGTGAACTTCCTCCAGAATGCCTCCAAGGAAACTGCAGTCCCCCGTGTTTATTTAGTCCGCCATCTTAGCTCTGAACCCCATCAACTAAGAGGCAGGTAAATTCTTCCATTCTGACTGTGTGCTATTCCTTAAAGCAAACCTATGGCCAAAATATGAACAAAACATCACTCTATCCATGTGCTGGTTGCTTTACTTTTTCCCTAGAGTTGTGATAATCTGTTACCACAAATATATTTAAGATATTAGGATTTTTAATTCACTTATGTTTAGACCTCATAATGCAATAATAATAATAAATAAAAACATGATACTGGAGAGCACTGCATATAATCTCTATTAAGAATAAAATTATAGAACTCCCTATAAGTAAGGCATCTTCTTACTTAGCTGAAGTTTGTTGTTTTATTTTTTTAAACTCAGCTTTTGGAGAGGTTCCTGAAACTACTGATTTGATCTATTAAGTTATAACCAAAGTCAGTGATTTTAAAATCTCATTTATACACAAAGGAAAATGAATGTGTTTCATTTCATCATTCAGTAAGATACAGCATTTAATGAAAGCAGAGGAAACAGATCTGGCTCTTGCTATAAGAATTTAGACTAGTTTTTTTTAATCCACATTTAAATGTCTAGATTCTAGTTTCTTTATGGCAGTTTTTGAACATTTTCAGAAATCATTTCAGTAGTATATTCACGAATAGTCATCAAATCTTTATTATATTTTGCTATGAAAAAATACTGTAAAAATTTTATCATCTTAAAATTAACTCCAAAATTTTTCAACTATTTTTACTACCAAGATGTTATTAGAGAAATAAATGGAACATTGGAGTGGTGATGATATCATAGGAATTTTTGTTGTAACAGTATTTGACCTATTTAAGACATGAAGCTTGCCTTTGTGGAAGGAACAATAGGACCAGTTATAATTTACATGCTTGGATTATCAGCCAGGTTTTATATTAAGATTGGTATCCTCGGATATCTATCTAAGAAGAAATATATCCCAAAAGAAAGTAAAAAGAATAAATGTTTTCATTCACTTTCATCTAAAATATAAATGCATGTCCTATATCCCTTATAGAAAGGGAAATGTTACACAAACAACATCCTGGGATACTATAGTTACAAGATACGTTCACCACAAAAATCCTACAAGATGTTGCTTCCTTATTTTATAGTGAGGAAACTGAGGCACACCTTATATTATCCAAGGTCTCAGCTAAATTAATATAACTCTAAAGTCAGTTCTTAATCGTTGTTATTAAACTGGTTTTTCTCTTTAAGCAAACTTAAGAAATCTGCATGCAAGAGACATTAAGAAATCATCTATTTTCTCTTAAAAGTTTAATTATTTAAATATAGTTTTGATTTTTTAAATATCTGTTTAGAGCCTTTTTGAAATCTTTATGCAATTAAAAAAGACTTAGAAAAGCATCAACCTTCTAAAATGTAGTTGTATTCCTGAGATAGAGAAAATTTATATTTATGTTAACAATAATATACTCTTTGACCCAACAATCCAAAGCACTTTAAAGTGTAAGCAGGGCCCTAACTGGTTTGGCTCAATGGATAAAGTGTTGGCCTGTGGACTGAAGGTCCCAGGTTCAATTCTAGTCAAGGGCACATGCCCAGGTTGTGGGCTCGATCCCCAGTAGAGGACATGCAGACGGCAGCCGATCAATGATTCTCATCATTGATGTTTCTGTCTCTCTTCCTCTCCCTTCCTCTCTGAAATCAATTTAAAAAAAAATATTTTAAAAAGTAATCTATAATAATAAAAGCATAATATGCTAATTAGACCGGACAGCCGAACGACCTTCCAGACGTCCTGCCGGACGAAGCGGGGGCTGCGAGGGCCAAGCCCCTTGCACGAATTTCGTGCATTGGGCCTCTTATAAAATAAAAGACATTAAAAAAGTGTAAGCAGGTATTATGATAGTAATCATAACTTGAAAACATACACAATAATTATCAGTACAAGAAAGACTATTTTACATAACAAATAATAGTACACCCACAGTGTGGTAGTATGCAAACAGTAAAAATGATAATTATATATTAATATAAAAAGACATTTGAGCCCTAATCGGTTTGGCTCAGTGGATAGAGCATCGGCCTGCAGACTGAAGGGTCCCAGGTTCGATTCCGGTCAAGGGCATGTACCTTGGTTGCGGGCACATCCCCAGTAGGGGGTGTGCAGGAGGCAGCTGATCAATGTTTCTCTCTCATTGATGTTTCTAACTCTCTATCCCTCTCTGTGAAAATCAATAAAATATATATATTTTTAAAAAGACATTTGATAGTTTCAGTGATTTTCAGATTATAAAATAGAATAATATGGCCCCATCATTGTGAATTTACTTAAATGTAGAGATGCATACCAAAAAAAGCCTATGCCTTGGCCAGTTCCTCAGTGGTTAAAGCGTCAGCCCTCAGACTGAAGGGTCGCAGGTTCAATTCCAGGCAAGGGCAGGTACCTCAGTTGCAGGCTTGATCCTTGGTCCCGGTCGGGGCGTGTGTGTGAAAGGCAACCAGTCGATACGTCTCTCACACATCAATGTTTCTCTTTCCCCCTCCCTTCCACTCTCTCTAAAACATCAATAGAAAACATATCCTTGGGTGAGGATTAACAACAACAAAAAAAGAGCCTAGAAGTATATTCATCAAAATGTTAACTTATCTCTGGGTAGTATAAGTACAATTGACTTGATTTTTAATAATTTTTTTTACCATGAGCACTTTCCTTTTCTATCACAAAAAGAAATAAAAGATTTTTTTTCCCTTAAAGGGAATAGTATTTCCTGAAAGAAGCAGCATTATTTCACCACAAGTCTTAGATTCTAAAGCTTTTATAGCAAATGACATGAATACTATGTACATAAATACATTACTATAGAATTCAAAAGCAAAAAATAAAACATTTCACTTGGCTCTTAATTAGCTAAGAGAGAAATTAACACAAACCTTTCTTAGTTTAGATCAGTGGTTCTCAACCTTCCTAATGCCGAAACCCTTTAATACAGTTCCTCATGTTGTGGTGACCCCCAACCATAAAATTATTTTCGTTGCTACTTCCTAACTGTAATTTTGCTACTGTTATGAATCATAATGTAAATATCTGATATGCAGGATGTATTTTCATTGTTACAAATTGAACATAATTAAAGCATAGTGATTAATCACAAAAACAGTATATAATTATATATGTGTTTTCCAATGTCTTAGGCGACCCCTGTGAAAGGGTCGTTCGACCCCCAAAGGGGTCGCAACCCACAGGTTGAGAACCACTGGTTTAGATGACTATGAATCAGAAGCAAATCCTTCTTAGAAGTTATAGCTCAGTCATTTCCAACTTGTGCTCCCTTTTCAGGTGTAGAGCAGATTCAGTTCCATTCAGTGCAGTGAATGAGTCAGCCACCAGCTAAAATCCATTTCCCTTTCAGCTCATTCTTGCCTCTAAAACAGGCTGTCCAATAGAGCTTTTTGCAGCAGTGATGAAATAGACGATGTGTGCTCTTCAGTGAGGTAGCCCTTAGTCACGTGCAACTTTTGAGCTTTGGCAACGTGACATGTGTAAGCCACCTGTGCCTAGTGGCTACTTTATTGAACAGCACAGATAAGAATACTTACAGTATGTCCAATAACCCAGCACTTTAGAAGACTAAAATTATGAACCTTAAATTAAGTTGAATAAATGGTTCCTCTGTAATTCAGAGATATCAAATTTAAAACACCCAATGTTTGTATGTGCTCTCTTTACAGTAATTTTGCCCTCTGGGGAAGCCAATAAGATAATCACTGTGTTTGGTCATGTGAACAATGTTTCTGGTACCAGAAAATCTTTCTGACTAGATAATAACTATTTAGTCATCAGTATTAATAATCAATGGGTCATGTCCGATTTCATAGTTAGATGAACCCTGTTGCTGTCCAGTTTCCTGTGATTAACAATTACATTGCCCTTTAGGTCATTAAAGGTCTCTCCTCAGAGCTAGTGACCTGGTGTATTCACCATGGCAGATGAGCATTTCTGTGAATTTGTCCCTTTGGGGATGTAGAGTAGATTAGTGCAATTCAGTGCAGTGAGTAGTGAGCCATCATCTACAATACATTTCCCTTTCTGCTCATCCTGGATAGAAAAAGGCCTAGAATACACACCCAGCTGTTGACAGTGGTCATCACCAGGGGCAAAAAGCAGTTTGGAGGGTGAGAAAGTAAAAAAAGGGGGGGGATACCTTTTTACATTCTTATTCAAATCTTTGTTTAACCAAGAACATACTCATATTCTCATACTCAAATTTTT